TTTCATCGGGAAGTTTTACATGCTTATCATCGGCAAAATGTGCAATATCTGCAACTGGCCTACGAAGTGCAACGGCGAAATTTTTGTAGGTGGTGAGTAACCGCATAATCAAAATGCAGATTTTATTGATTTCGTTTTGTGATCGGATGAATCGCTTTTCTTCGAGGAGTGGAACCTTTAATTCTCATAATGAACATATTTGGTCGTTAGAAAATCCACTCGTTTCAACAACACAAATTTTCTAGAAACGCCTGTTTATGCACGTATTGTTGCAACGTTCAACTGCTAACTCATACTTATCTTTTCTACAGAATTACATAGAAAATGTGTTAGATGATTTTCCGTTAGCAACGAGAGTACGAATGTGGTATCAATACGACGGTGTCCCACCGCTTGTTTGTCCTGGCATAAAGGCATGGTTAAATAATCGTTTTAGACAAGGATGGATTGGCAGAAACGGACCCGTACATTGGCCTGCGAGGTCTCCTGATTTGAACCCCTTGGATTTCTTTTTGTGGGGCGCTTTTAGATAACTAGTGTATGCTGAACAAATTAATACTGTTGATCAGTTACAAGAAAGAATAGATAATGCGTTTCATCAAATTCAAGCATCAACAAATCTTCGGAAATACGTTTTCCTTTAAAAAAAAAGATGCGGCACTTGTATCCGTCAAAATGGTGGTTTTTTGCACATTTATTGAAATAAAGCAATGCACTCTAGTAAAAAAACACAAGCGTAATTATTTGTAGCAAATTGAAGGCAAAATTCGAAAAATCGCGTGTTCTGAAAAAACACTAAACCCCTGTATCTCCGCCACTGGTGCACGTTGACTTTAAGTCAAAGACAATATTTGGGTATATCCACATACCAAATTTTAGTTCATTCCGGTTGACGGTTTTGATGATATTAAAAAAAATGTTTTTTATTTTCAAACTTCAACACGCCCCTTGAGGAAAAAATATTACATAGAAGACCTCCATAAAATGCGGTCCTGAGTATGATGTTTGAGTTTTGGTCACGACTTGAGAATCACTTTGCGTAGAAGAATTTGTTGGTATGTTAAGGCAGAAGGTACAAAAAAAATAGCAATATAGGCTCATATAAACATACATCCTAAAAGTGCATTTGGCCGCTACTGTGTACCTAATAATTAATTCCGTTAATTTAAACAACTTGTTAACACGATTGGCTCTAATGAGCTCACACGCTGCCGGACCATATATCGTACATTCACATTTGAATTTGAGTACGGTCATTCTATAGTACGATACAGGAAACAAAGTCGGCTTCAACGGTGGCCTGTCGCTACTGTTGCCTAAAAATAATAGCAATAATAATGTGTCTTCATTTTTCAAAGTAATTATGCATTTGAATAATTAATAATGATGTGAACAAATAGGACACCGATCTGGTTTTAGGCCAACGGACAATGGACACAATACGTCATTATAAAAGGATGGATTTAATGAATACCATTCTCGAACTCCATAACTTTTTGACGGGGTGAGTTCACCCAACACCATGAAACACATCATCCTTCTATATCAATTAAGTATATCCAATATTTTGTACTTTACCTGTAAGTAACTAAAACATTGTAGGTGCGAAAAATTAAATTTGAGCTACGAGTATATTCTCTTATTGCTTCTTAGCGTATAAACATTCAACGTGAAACCAGCTCATCAAAATGCAAAGCTGAACATAAGGTAACATCAAAAACTAGAGACAACAAATTATTAACTCAGGGTCCCAAATACAGGTGAAAAAATAAAGCATTGATTTTCGAAATTTTTAACCATCTTGTATTTGTTTGTCTATAAGTAATCAAGAGATTAAAAGAAATGCGAGAACCAAGACTCTTTGAGTTGTGAAGCGCTAGAAAAGCGTTTTGTCTATGCCCAAATAGGTGAAAAGTACAAAAAGAATATCCTAAATATTCTTGTCTGAAGCTGCTACGGGACGGGAGTTGTTAATTCCGTGAACAAAAATTGCGTCAAGTAGGTTGCATTTTCATAATAAGAATCACAGTATAAGTTTCGGGTCTCGCATTAAGAGTGTTCTACATTTCTTAGTGTGAGTGCAATAGTATCGTAAGTCCGAATCTGTTATGACTATGTATGGAATGAAACAATTGGAAAGCCAGGAGCTAAAGAGATTGGCAATATCTTGATCCTTTTTTTTGAAGAACAATGATCGGTATTCAGATGTTGTTATATTTTATTCTGATAACTGCTGCGGTCAAAATAAAAATAGATTCATAGCTGCAACATACCTCTAAGTAGTTAATACCATGGAATCATAAATGCCATTATTATTATTATTATTATTATTATTATTATTATTATTATTATTATTATTATGATAATTGAGATGAGCAGAGTACACAGTACTATAAGCTTATGCAGTAAATATAGTGTACGGACACGTAACACAAATACATCAAATAGAAAAAAATAAAAAAGACAGTTCATAGTTATAAAGTTTGTACACTCCTCCAGCTATCATACTGCACTTTGAAGCTATTAACTGAAGTAGCACCAACCACACTTTCAGGTAAACTATTCCAGGAGTTGAATATGCGGTTGGGAAGAAACCACTGTCGGACTGTTGTTTTAAATGGCTCCTTATGCAGTTTGAAGCTGCGTCCGCGTAGATTGCTGCGCGACAGACGGTATAGATGCATGAGGTTGGTGCCCATCAAACCATGAAGTATCCTGAACGTAACTATAAGATCGTCACGAAGTCTTCGCTCAGAGAATGAGGTCAGGTTGACTAATTCAAGGCGATCTTCATAGCTTGGTCTTCGTGCTCCAAAAGGGATACGAGTAGCCCGACGCTGTACCGATTCGACGAGATTTCTATCGCGCAGAAGCACAATGTCCCATACCGGGCCAGCGAATTCAAGAATTGGCCTTTCGAATGCCTTGTAAATGTAGGCGCAAGTGTTGATATCGGATCCTTTGAAAGACCTCTCCAGCATGTATAGAAGTTTCTTGGCTTTTGATGTAACGAGGTGAATATGCTCTGACCAGGAAAGAGGATCGTTGACTACAACGCCCAGATCAGTGTGGCTGGAAACTGGTTCGATGTTGTGGTCAGAGATCTTGTATATAAATCGCGGATTTGTCTTCCCGAGGTGAAGGACACAACACTTAGCTAGATTTTAGGGTAAAAGCCAACTGACTGACCATTGACAAACAATATCAAGATCTCGTTGAAGCATAGCAGAATTTACGACAGTATTGTAAATCTTGGTGTCGTCGGCATAAGCTGAACATGTGGAGGAAATCAATGCGGGCAGGTCACTTGTATACAGAAGGAACAGCACTGGCCCCAAGACAGTACCTTGAGGAACTCCACTTGCTACATGATGAAGGTGAGACTGGCTATCACTGACGCGCACAGAGAAAGTCCTCCCAGTGAGAAAAGCCTTAATCCACAGTAACAACTCGCCTCTTATTCCCATACATTCCAACTTAAACAGAAGCCTTCTATGTGGTATGCGATCGAAAGCCCTAGAAAAATCTAAGTAGATTATATCAACAGGAATCTTTGTGTCCAGATACTGAGTCCAATCGTTGAGAGAGTGGAGAAGGTTGGTCATTATTGATAGACCAGGGAGAAATCCATGCTGATTCTTAGGGATAAGGTCATTTTGGAAAGCAACTGACAGGAGCTTATCTAATATGATTCTTTCAGCTATTTTGGCGGCGATAGGAACGAGACTTATTGGTCGATAATTTTTAGCGGAGGATTTGTCGCCCTTTTTGAATACAGGGGTAACAGAAGCACTAAGCCAGCATGAGGGTAGGGTATGAGATCTAAAAGACGATGTGAATATCAAGCTTAATGGTAGGGCCAGTGCTGAGGCGCAGTTTTTAAGTACAGCAGCCGTCATCCCATCTGTATCAGGGGAGGAAGAGGTCTTCAGATTTCGCAGGTGCATACAAAAGTAAGCTTGCAACCCTAAATTTAACGATTTATAATATTCCAAATCGAATCAGTTATTATTATGTATGTAGTGAAACAATTGGAAAGCGAGGAGCTAAAGAGATTGGCAATATCTTGATCCGTTTTTTTTGAAGAACAATGATCGGTGTTCAGATGTTGTTATATTTTATTCTGATAACTGCTGCGGTCAAAATAAAAATAGATTCATAGCTGCAACATACCTCTAGGTAGTTAATACCATGAAAACATAAATGCAATTACTCACAAGTTTTTAATTGCCGGTCACACCCAAAATGAGGGTGACAGTATGCATTCTGCCATTGAAAGAGAGAAGCTAACAGCACCTATATACCTGCAAAGTGGATATCCATAATCGCCCTTGCAAAAAGAACTGGCACACCTTATGTTATTAACGAAGTCCAACAAAGTCACATTTATGATATAAAAACATAAACCAGTCAGGTAGGAAAAATTTTTTACAAAAACACGAAAAATAAAAAGATTACATGGAATAATATTAAAATACTTTATGTTAGAAAAGATTCCCCACAAAGTATATTTCATAAAACGAGGTTTGAAGCAAAAACATTTGAGGAAATTTCGATTAACCAGTCCAAAAGGAGGAAAGTGTCAGAGAGAAACTTAGTTCTTAAAAATACCTACAATGGACCTCTCGGCATAAGTAAAAAGGAAAAGGATGGCTATATCTTTGCAAGAAGCAGTTGATCAAAAAAGAGTACCATGAATTCTAGGAGGCACTCCCAACTTCAAAGACTGGTCGGAAACCGAGTAAGCATCAGCACACGGGCCAGTATATATTGTATTGTTTACTGCAACGTTATCTGCTAGTGCATTGTATTTAATAAATTGCTTTTTTAAAAATTTTGCATCTTATTTTCATTGAGTAAGCAGTATCACATATGGCAAATATCGCATTATCAGTCAGTTATTTATTGAAACTCAAAAACGTCTGCTGACACAATTACCTCAAAATCTACTATTTTTGTCATACGATAGTATTGCTCCCATATTACGATTTATTCCTTACCTATCTCGATCGTAGTACCTATCCCTGTCATAGTACCGGTCCCGATCGTCATAATCCCTATCATAGTACCGATTTCTGCTATCCTGAGGGTACCTATCGTAGTACCCGGAACCGGATGTTTCGCACCGTATACATCTCTTCCCCACGGTACTTTCATTTGGTGGATCTCTAGTATCGCCAGCAGTTTCCGGTTTTAGTGCCTTGTCTTCATTACTGGTACCACTTCCATATCTACTGGGGTACTTTGAGTCTCTAGGTACTCGCGACAGAGTTGAGCTTGGAAGAAGGACGTCTTTGAGGATGGCAGCATTGGAAAGTTGGAGAAACAAGGTGGCAGTGAGAAGGATGTGCTTGAGGCTGGTGCTCTGCAAAAAAACATAACATTTAGTGTTCAGGGAGGTTAGAATCCGATGCAGAATGTTGCAGTATTTGCAGAGCTGAAGTGCCGCCATAAATTCACCCTCTCTTTCTTCTGTATGACATTTTAGAAAAGAAAGTGATATACGAACGTCGTAAAGGTTTTTCAGTAATTGTTCATCTTATTCTTTTATTTATTTTATTTTATACATAATTGCCCAACAGAAGTATTCCAATTAGAGGACAATATAGTGGTATCTTTACTTATAATACATACATATAATGTATACATATAACTAACTTAAAAAACAGAATTAGCTATTATAATAGTACTGAAATTCGACAAGATCTTACTCGTACAATCAAAATTAATGTCAGAACTGTCTGCTATGGAATTAAAATTGATGCATATAGAATGTAGCGGAGAATAAAATAATACATTGGTACGGGAGGTACTGCAGAGTTCTTCTCATATGTAACCCTGGAACACAGAAATTTAACCTCTGGAGAAGTTCTGGTCCATCCACTTGTCGTGCAAAAGCTTATGAAGGAATAACAGGCCAGCAGTGGAACGTCTTGACTGTAGAGACTCTAGTTCAAAACGAAGCAGCAGAACAAATTGAGAGACCCTTTCTGGATATGTGCATTTTCTAAGATGTTTATATAATACGCATAGAAAGGGTTCCATATCAAAGAAGCATACTCAGGTTTTGGTCACACCAGTTAAATAAAAAGAGCTTTTAGTGCCGCTTCGTTGGAAAAAGATCGGCAGTTACCATTATGAAACCCAGAAGCCGTGTCGCTTCGGAAGTGACGCGTGCTACATGGACAGAGAAGTCCAATCTACAGGAAAATGTTACACCAAGATCTTTAGTTTCGGGTTCATTTTACGACAATATGAACATACTTTAAATTTGGAAATATTTAAGAAGAGGACATTATTGTCGCACCACTGTGTGATGGTACGCAGATCGTCCCGAAGGGGGATGCAGCTCTCCAAATTTGTAATTTTGGTGTAAATTGTCAGATCATCAGCAAATAGTAGAGATTCACACTTCAGTGAAGCGGCTAGGTTATTTATGAAGAATAAAAACAGCAAGGAACCTAGGTTTGAACCCTGTGGTACTCCAGAGGGAACAGTATAATTAGCTGAAGGGTAACCATTATAATAAGCATATTGCGTCCTATTAGAAAGATATGAGCTTAGAAGACCGACTAAAGAGTCAGTAAGGCCGAAATAATGAAGGCTATCCACAAGAAGATGATGGTTTAATTTGTCGGAAGCCTTGTTGAAATCCATGTAAATAATATCGACTTGTTTATTGTCTAACGATTCTGCTATATACTGGGTAATTGTCATTAAATTTGACGTAGTGGATCTACCTTTGATGAAACCATGCTGTGATGATGTAATTAGGCTTTTAACGTTCTCGAAGATAAAAGAGTAAATGGCCATTTCAACAGCCTTTGCAAAGTTGTTTAAAATGCTCCTAGCTCTATGGTTGAGTACATCAGAATTATCACCATCTTTCAGGACCGGATACACCTTTGAAATCTTCCAAACATCAGGAGAAATTCCACTTTTTAATATAGCATTGAAAATTATCAGCATCGGCTTGACGAAAACATGAGCACAATCTTTAATAATTAAACTAGATAATTGATCTCTACCAGATGTAAGTTTATTTTGAAGCTTAGAGAGAGACTTCAGCTCATCAGGTTCCGTTAATTCCTCTAGATAAATACATGGTGTTGAGGTGACGCTATCTAAAGAAGAGAGAATATTTCGAGGAGTAGCATACACACTCTTAAAGTAGTCGGCAAATGCATCAATAACACCTTGTGGAGTATTAAATACGTTGCCATTGAACTGGACTTGGCCTAGTAATCTGCTAGAGTATCTCTTATTCCGAATGTATGACCAGAACTTCTTCGGGTCGTTGATTATACCGTCCTCAACCAACAACAAGTACTCACTGTAAGCAACTCTAATTTGCCCCTTTATGACTCTGCGCAAGCTAGAAAATTCATTGTAATAGTAAACGTTGCTTGTTCTCTTATATTTTCTGTAGTAGTAATCCTTCAAATTTATGTTACTCATAATTTCTCTAGTATACCAAGGCGGATACCTGAATTTGCAGGTATTGTTAATTACAGCTTCTTAGAAAAGTCCGATTGAATGAAATTTTTAGTCACAATGGGTCGCTTTTTATGATTCAGAGTACTATGCTCATTCTCATTACTTTGATAAAAAACCGAAGGCATTATTCCACTTAATCCTGTAGCAGCTTGCAGGACATACACAAATGAATGACACATAAAATGTAAGCTTTCAACCAAACTAATGAAACTAAGTATGATGAACGGTATACGAGCCCCTTTCCACTTCAGTTGGCCCAACTATTGAAATCTTAGTTTTTTTCTTATCAAACACAAATAATAAAAATGCAGCAGGGTGTTATAGGTTTAAAATATTAACAATGAATATTTTGATATATACCCAGTAGAAAACGCCAACTTTATCACTCCCTAATCAAATTTGCAGCATAAAAATAACACATGTTGCAATTACAGCATATCAACCTATTTTCATTTCAATCAAAATCTATCACGCATATGTGGCTGTGAAAAATAAAAGCCATGACAACTGTTTTTATTAATCATAGCTGTAATACGTTTAAAATAGTTTTGGGTAGTTAAAGTTTTCAAAATGGGTAGAGGAAACGTTATTAGTGAGAAAATTCGGTTACTGATAATAAAATTTTTCAATCCTGGGAAATCAAGCTCAGAAATTGCAACTTGGTTAGACCTATCGCGGTACAGTGTGAGAAATATTGTTAGAAGATATAGCGTAACTGGTTCAGTTAATATTAAGCCATGATATGTGAAAATGGTAATATCACAAATGCCGACCGAAGAGCATTAAGAAGAATACTCGTGAAAAACAGTCGTGCCAATTATTTACAATTAAGTGCTCTGTAGAGTGACGCTGTTGGAAGGAGAATTTCGAGGTCCACAACTCATAGAGAGGCCCACAAACTGGGATTTAGCACTTAGATGTAAGTTTTCTTATAAAAAAAGTGAAGTAAAAACCCTAAAGTTGCACAATTTGTTTATAGGCCAAAGAAAAGCCACTATTAACTCCACTGCAAAAGAAAAATCGGCTTAGATGGGCTAAAGAACATAGACAATGGACACCTTAACAATGGTGTGCATACAATGGAGTGATGAGGCCCGATTCGAAGTTTGTGTTGGCGACAGTCGCAGAGAGTTATTCGCAAAAAAAATTAAGCATTCCCGTGTTGACTATCTGAAGAGGAAAATGAAATTTCCAGCATCCGTTATGAACTGGGGCAGTATGTCATCAAATGGAGTAGGAAAACTTCATTTTAATTGATGGAATGTTGATACAAACAAATATTTGACAATTTTAGAAGAATCGCTTTTACCAGTGATGGAAGGATGTTTGACATCCGTCCAAGATTTAGTTTTTCAGCAAGATGGTGCAGCGTACCATACCTCAAAACAGGCTATAACATGGATGGAAGAAAATAATGTACCACTTTTGAAATGGGTTTCTAGCAGTCCAGATCTGTCACCTATTGAAAACTTTGTGGCACGAGATGAAAAGGTTCTACGACAACATTCTGCTCGTACAATCACCGAACTGAGACAAAAGCTTCAAGAAATATGGGATGTTTTACACCAAATTTTTCCAAAACTTGGTTAACACTATGCCGCCCCAAATAATTGTGGCCGTAATAAAAATAAAGGTGATGTTACCCAATGGTAATCTTTCAATTGTTGCTTTTTTAACTTCGCGCATTTATTCGCACATTGTTTGTTTGTTCAGATGTTCTATTAGTTATAGGTCTAAGTGATTTCAATATGTATTTTTTACGACTAGAGTGTATCTAAAATGTTTTTGAGAAAATAAATTGTTTTAGAAGTAAATAGTTTTCGTCATGTTTAGCTTATAAAGGCATATTTTGGTGCAAATCTTGAAGTGGGCCAACTGAAGTGGGAAGGGGCTCGTATATGGTACATATTTGGAGTCGGGAAAAAAAGCGACTATCATATTCACAAAAAATATACAAGTTGTTCCATTTGAAGGATACAGCTTTATTTGGCAGCATTTTTCGGAGATATTTTTTTTCTTGAAATGTCGCACAGCTGGATATGTACCGATTTCATACAGGAGTTTGTATATGCATTTCTTTACAAAAGCAATGAAGCGTTTTCTGTTGGCTGATGACTGCATAGTATGGAACAAAAAATTTTACTCTTCGTGGTATATAAAAGTTTTTCATTTCTGTTTTCTTTTCAACTCTTTTCGGATCAAGTTTATTATCTGTAAGGTATCACGGTAGACCTTAGATCCAAATATTCTAACAAAGAATTATTATATTTTCTTTCGGTTGAATGGAAGAGCAGATCTTCTTATACGCTAGTTAGATAGAAATTCTGTCATTTGCGAGGAAACAGCTTGAATTTGCTTAAGTTAGGAGCTTTATTTGTGATTTTTGCGTGTGCTTATATGGGCAATAAACACTGTTTATTATTATTGTTGCTATTATTTGCCAAACGCAGATGATGAGTGAGTCAGACTATTTCAAAAAAGTGGAAGGTTAGAGGAACATTAAGTTATTAGTGTAATTATGGTAAATGCCAAGGTCATCATTTGTCAATAATAAAAAATATTAGATTGCGTATTGTTGTTTTATATACTACTGTTAATCTGTTATTAGTTTATATTCTAATAATCAGGATGTAATCCTTATTAATAATTATTTGTGTTAGCTACTGTTATAAACCTGTAAAAAACATCGACAAATACGCACGTAGTTGATTATTTATTTTCCTGTGATCCTCTGACATCAAAAAGTAGTTTGGGATTATTCCAATTTTTCATTCTTGTTTGGTATCGATATGTTATAAGCGCAAGGCACCGCTGAAAGTTGGCAACCCTTATCAAGAAAAAATGAGGGAAGGCACATACCATCTTGTGTTTTTTCAAATATGGCTAACGGCCATATGATGGAAGGCTCAAGCGTCTTAACAACAAGACAGTTATCACGACTTTTAACATAATGCC